AATCGGATCCAGATATAATGATTTTATTGCATTTCTGCATCAGTAAAACCATTATTATCTGCTAGCTCATTGACAAAATCCATAATAATTACAGCAACTGAGACATTATTTTTAGAGTAATTCTCATTGCCATTGCCCCACTATTTTTTAAAATTTGGAGTAGACGGACTGCTGCTGTCAGCATAAATAGGCTGATCTGAAAGCTCTAAATTACTTTTTTCCAGCTGTTTGATGCTGTTAAATTCAGTGACCCGATCTATATTTTCTTTTGAGATCAACTCCTTGTTTTTATTATTAAACTATAAACTTTGAAGTTTGGTTGGCACAGTGCTACCTTTAATAGCTTTGACTTAAGATGCGATCTCATTATGCACTATTTCTAAAATAATTTTTTGTTCTTTTTTTGTTGATTTTCCAAAAAAGTTATCGATTTTTTTTTGCATCGATTTTACTGTATGTTCCTCAGGCTCTTTGGATTTTGTTTGTGGTTTTTGGATCATTTTATTGTTAATATCTGCAAACATGGTTTTAAGCGCTAAACCGACAGTATTTTGACCGCTTTTGCTATTTTTTTTGCATTTTTAAGCTTATTTTGCTTAAATTTTTCTAGCTCAGGGCAGTCAGACTTCCAGTGACCTTGTTGTTTGCAGAAACTGCATACTGGCTTACATCCCCTGTAGGTTAATGCTAAAACAAATTTGTCGAATTCCAAAAAAGCAGGAATTTCAAAGCTTTCAATGGGGTTTTTAAATAGAAATTTCATTCCAAATGTATGGAATTTGCCGCTACTTTTGTTTTTATATGCACTAAAGTCATATATAATTTTATTTTTGGTAAAATCATTATTTACTGCTTCAACCACCATTCGAATATTAATGCTGTTTGTGCTGGGGGTCGTTATAATTTGCGCCTCTTGTTCCAATGTTACAGTTTGGTAGAGCTCTACTGCTATGCCATTATAATATATTGGAGTATTCACGCATTTTTCAGCACCTTCTTGATTATAAAACATGAAGTATGTAGCTTTTGCTCTTGAATCATGTTGGTATGATACATATTTATTATCAATTTTACGTGCAACATAATCAATTGCTGCATTAATGTTGCCAGAAAATTGAGTCCAGCTACACCCAATTTTTGTATCAGAGCCACCGTAGCATGCTTTTTTAAGCGCTTTTGGAATGGAATTGTCTAGCAAGTGCATAATTGAAACCTCAGTAAATTATTGAGGATTTAATGCTGGTTTTATTATTTTTTTAACATTATTTTTGTTATGTTGTTGAAATTTGTCGTTTTTTTTTTGATTTTTTGTATTTTTTTG